GACGGAAAGAAGGAAACAGAAGGAGAGAGGAAAGAAGGAAGGAAAGAAGGAAGGAAAGATAAGGAATGGAGGGTGGAAGGAAGGAAGGAAACAGAAGGAGGGGGCAAGGGAGGAAAGGAATGAAGAGATCATTTGCAGTTCAGTGTATTTTAGAAACGATAAAGCAATGCATTAAAATATCAATGTAGTCAAATTTCAGTAAGAGTCCAGTCGCAGCACCTTTTGAGACTCGTAGATTTTTATTAAAAGGAAGGGTAAGTGTTGAGTGGTTCTCTTCATCAGCTGCAGGTGATCACCCCTTCCTAATTTGAATCTCCTCCTCCTGAAAGATTTTTTTTTTTACCCAACTTAGATAAAACATCTGCCAGATGCAGCATCCATCTTGATTAGCATCCTGCGCCAACCCAGACCCTTGGGCTAGTTTGGTGTCTTGCACTTTGGCTCCCCCCAAAAAAGAGTTAATTTAGCAACCAGATTAAAACCTTGATGCTGCTGTTTTCTCCCTACAAACCAAAATGCTGCAGATTCATTACCGCATTCAAAAGAATCTTTGCCGGTTTGTTTAAAGCCTTTGGAAACAGGAGAAAAATGAGGAAAGCTTCTAAGAATAGAGTAGCTTTCTCCAACTTGGAGTCTCCAAGCGGGAGGAGAACAGAGGTGGTATTCAGGCGGTTCGGACCGGTTCTAGCGTACCGGTAGCAAAAATTTTGACTAGTTCGGAGAACCAGCAAATACCACCCCTGACTCTGACGCACACGTGCATAGAATCGCTTATAGAACCAGCAGGAAAAAATTCGGAAACCCACCACTGGCAGAGAAGATCATAGTAGTCCAGAAATGAAACTAACCCAAGCCATGTTTTTTTTTCCTACCAAGAGGTCCTGTCTGTCCTGATGTTGGGTGCTTTGGCTGCCTCGGGCGTAGTGGCTCTCTTGCTCTTAGTGGTTTTTGTCTCTCTCTGCTATCGACGTAAGCGCTGCGGAAAAGGTGAGGATTTCTGCAACTTTCTCTCACTCCTTCCCCTTCTTCTCTCCCTGGACTTTGCAGTCCTTACTTGAGTCAAAGCCCCAAAGGCTAAGCCAGTGTTTCTTAGCCTTAGCAACTTTTAAGATGTATGGTTGGACTTCAACTCCCAAAATTCTGCCGCCAACATGCAGGAAAACGGAGAAACACGGAGCTGAGCCAAATCCTCTTCAGGAACACAATGGCATTCAACAATGGTTGTCAGGGCCACCTTGAGTAGCCCAGTGAGATAGGAAAGCATGGGGTGGAACCCTGAGTAGGACCTTTTTTGGCTTCACTGTAGAACAAGGGTGTCAAATTCAAGGCCTGGGGGCCGGATCCAGTGAGCCTCAGTGGCGTAGTGGTTAGAGTGCAGTACTGTAAGCTACTTATTTATTTTTATTTATTTATTTGATTTGCCAATTGTTTACAAGATAATAAGTATAAATGTATACATAGTTGTGAATACATGAAATGGGTACATATAAGAAAAATAAAAGAATAAGAGAAACAATAGGACAGGGACGGTAGGCACGTTGGTGCGCTTATGCACGCCCCAACTTCTACTGCAATTTGGCAGATCAAATCCCACCAGGCCCAAGGTTGACTCAGCCTTCCATCCTTCCGAGGTGGGTAAAATGAGGACCCAGATCGTTGGGGGCCATAGGCTGGTTCTGTATACCACTTAGAGAGGGCTGTAAAGCACTGTAAAGTGGTATATAAGTCTAAGTGCTATTGTTATTGTTACTCAGATCTGGCCCGCAGGGCCCCCCTGGAAACAGCGAAGGACCGGCCCACGGAGGACCGGAACTCGGGAGCCTGTTTTCACTGGAAGAGCACTCGGGCCACCACAGGTGCCCCTAACATGAGTGACATTGAGCTGGCCACACCCACCCTGGCCACACACACCCAGCCCCCCCCCCCCCAGGCAAACCCCACCCCAAAGGGGCCCCCAATGAAATTGGGTTTGGCACCCCTGCTATAGAAAGGGGGGAAACTCTGTTGATCTCAGTCCTTGATACAACTTCATCCTGTGTACAAGGAACGCACTTCCCAAAGCAGCTCATGTCCTCTGTATAATGACAACATCTTTGTCATTGGCCTCCTGATGCCATGGAGCCAATGATCTCATTTCCATTATTGGAACAATGATCTCATTACGCAGCTGACATAATGGGCAAGGTTTGCCTAGTAGCATCATCATGCAAACAATGTAAATCATTGGGGTGACGTACACTCTGATTTAATGAGCACTTCGGAATAATGAACTTGTCATTCCCTTCTTTTAGACTCATGTACCACAGCCCCTAGCAATAGCCCTTAGACTTATATACTACCCCAGAGTGTTTTACAACACTCTCTGAGCAGATTATAGAGTCGACGTATTTCCACCAACAATCTGGGTCCTCATATTTACCAACCTCGGAAAGGTGGAAGGCCGAGTCAACCTTGAGCCGGTCAGGATCGAACCCCTGGCATTGGGCAGAATTAGTCTGCAGTATTGCATTCTAACCATTGTGCCACCACCTCTTCATCTTTCATGAGTCATATTGGTGCAGTGGTTAGAATGTAATACTGCAGGCTAATTCTGCCCAATGCCAGGGGTTCCTAGAACATGCAGGGAGGAACGGAGAAGGAAACAACTTGGCTTATGAGAGAGGAAGCGGCCATGATCCTCCTCATTGGTTGCAGCTGGGGAGAATAGTATGTAAGAGAGACAGTTAAAACATAGTGTTGCCAGAAGCAAAGCATGTGTTATTCTGGGCTGAAGTTATCTTGGTTCGTGTCTTTCCAACAGACTCTTTGAATTTGGTAAATACTTATCCTGGTCCGAAATTTTGTCATTGTAGTTTGTTTTGGTTTTTTATTTCACCTCTATCTGCTCATTAAGTTCGGACTGTATTGCTTTCTTTTGAAGACTATTTTTGAGTACGTTTTATCTCCAACTGAGAATTATTGAACAGTGGGGCCAAGTTGGAGGCATTAAAGGACATTTATTTACATTTTGGATTTTGTTACATTTGTGTTACACTCCGAGTCATCACATTTCCCCTTTTATCCATACTCCTTTCATGTACTCTTAATCATGTTTCCAATTATATCTGTTATCTTAAAACATGCTTGACAAAATAAATAAATAAAAATAAATAAATAAATAAATAAAAAATAAAACCATTGTCCTTAAGAGTAACTTCCTAGGTGTCGGGGGAGCACGATCTGACCTCCGCATCTCCCCTGTCTGTCTCTTCCACAGCCAAGCGGGGGACGCAGCTGTCTAAGGCCGATATCCTCGTGCAGATCACCACAAGCGAGAGCAGCCCCAGCAGGCCCAGCGAGGTGGAAGATGACGCCAAGGAACCCATGGTAAGCAGAGATGGGCACTCACGTCCTCCGGTTCTGTCAAGTCCCTGTTTCTGCAACGGCCCTGACCCAACCGGGTTCCCAGAGAGCAAACACAGACAAAGGCAGCAGCCCCCACCTGTCAAGGTTTAATCACGAATGCTGTTCCTTTACAGAGAAAAGGCTGCTTTCCAGCAATTATCTCCGACAAGAAAGAGCCTTGCCAAGTTGTTTGTCAAGGCTGCCAAAAACCCAGAGATAAGAACTAATTTACAAGATTCACGAACTAAGATGTCCACCAGTTGAGTTTCAGAGCTTCTTTGCTGTCTGCAAAGAACGCTTTTCCAAACCTGGCTTTTATCCTCTTGCAGCCTTACTCCTGAGCCGCCTGTGCTGCTGTAATTGTCCTTTCCTCCGAGCAATCCTTCGTACACGTGCACTTGGCACAGGCTCCTCGGGAACCTCCTCATCACTGCTGCCAGCTCCCACAATCTCTGAAGGCAGCAGTCCACTCCCTGATGGTCCTGGCCCTTCATCTGAGTCCTCTCTCTCCTCAGCCATCTCCTCAGCCAGCAGATGCACCTGCTGCCGGCAAACCGCAACACTAGCATCCAGTCCCAGCTAGCCAACCCTGCCTGCTTTGGGGGGAATAGAAAGAGAGAGAGCACTTATCTTTTTTTTTTCATTGTAGCCACAAGCAAACGAGGCATATGCAGAATTCAAAATTACGCACTTGGCGGTGGGGGCAGAGAAGGAGCTACGGCTAAAATGTGGTAGAATAACACGCAGCTCTCCAAGTGCTTGAGGCAAAGAGTTCTATTATTTTCCAGGAACATCACTTCCCAGTCACCCATCCCGGTGGATTTTTTTTCTCCCCAGTCGATAATACTCTTTTCCCATCTGCTCTGCAAAGTTCCAGCCAGACTGTTTACGTTTTTCTAGGATACTTCAGTTCATTGGCCCTGGACCCAGCTTAGTGTTTTTTGACCTCGAAAATAATGTGGACCATATTTAATAAATATGGATTTCAACTCCCAGAATTCCCCAGTTAGCATGGGAAGTCCGTGTTTCTTAAAGTGGCCAAGATTGTGAAACACTGATTAGCCAGCTAGGAAATCATGCCGTACCCCTGTTTGTTTGTTTGTTT